TTTATCAAGGAACAATTCTGACTAACTATGAAGAATAATATATTTAATATTCATGCTCTACAATTTATACTACTATAACAGTACCAAGTAATTTTTTTCATCACATGCATCTCATAGTGTCCAGATAGATATTCCATTTTGAAGTTGCAAAATTGGATTTTGGAATTTCTAATAAAATATTATAATTCGTAACGTGTTTATATTGTTGCAATAAATTAGATATTATATCCACTTTGTCAGGCCTTTTAAGCAATGCAGGCTTTTATTATCAACAAGACATATGAGATAAACTAGTAACCTCTTGACCGCAGTGCACATTACACAAATGGTGACAAATCGTAAATACCGGGTAGTACACTCTATCAACTGTAGTTATAAATCATGTCAAAATGTGTTTTTTTCAATCACTATGTACGAATGCATCCTTCCCATTCAATTTGAATTTACCTACAAACTCTCTTAGACTCTGTATGTAAATTTTTACTAGTAATAACAGGACTTGAATTTTGAGAACAGAGTTTCCATCACCAAAAATTTGTTAAAAAAGAACCGTAGATTAAAATTGTGACAATTGGGGCATCTAAGAAATTATCTCCATGACTGTCAAATATTTTTGAACAAGAGACATGTATTAAATTTAAATGGACTTGATATAATATACAAATAACTGCTGTACCTGAAATTTTGGCACAGGCAGCTCAGCCTTTTCAGTACGAGGCCATAACCTACATAACCTGTTTCTGGGATCTCTGGTTGGTACTGGAGTATAATCAGAATGCTGTAAACAAACAAAAAATAAATAAACTTGAATTGTATGATTCAAGTTAATATGACAAATTGTACACATTCTGATAATATAGTCTTACGTAATATCAATGGACGAATCAACAAGCTGTTGGTTATGAATTCGAATTTGCCTCCAAATGTAAACAAAAACAATGTATACCAAATTTTTGTTTTTATACATTTTTTCTGTTACATGTTGAAAGTTATTCAAGATATTTGTTATTCCAGTGAAAAAATATCTGAATAATTTCGGTAATGTGATTTTGATGGGAATCACTGCGTTGTTTTGGTCTTACCCCTTGGATTACTCCATCATATCTGTACAACTTCTGTTGCCCCTTCTTGATCATGGGATCAACCAAGAGCTTGAAACTTCGCCATTTTCTCTCACACTGACTACCACTTTGAGTGTTGAGACCATTAACGTCTGTGAAGTAGAAAAGAGTAAAATATGTTATTTAGTTTTAGCAGGGGCATAACTTTCTTTACACCAAAACACACAAAAACATGTGCTCCAATGGTACCAAAACTCACTAGCAAAGGTAGGCTTCCTTGTGTCTTGCCGGTGATGATCGGCAGTTCGCGGCCGCTCCATTGCTTTATGATCTCTGGAAGACATTACTAAGCTTTAAGTAACCTCATAATGACGAAATACTGGCCCTGGCCACAGAAATTTGTGATCAACACACAGTAATTTGCGATCATGAAACATTGACTGCCTTTCAAAACTGCATTTGTAAGTCACCATAATACCCAAGATTCCTTGCTCGATCGACGCAATCACACTGAAAGTACTTTTTCATTCATAGACTATTTTTTCAAAAAGTTGACTCGCGTTGTCTCTTTTTTTGTACAATAGCTTCAAACAATATTGCATGTAAAATCTGTACTAGAGGTATTTACAACTTAAACAATGTACAAAATAAACACATCTTCTGAAATTAATGGAATAATTTCTATTACAATATCCTCGAATGTTGCAAGTCAACATATCACTGGTTATTTTACTGTGATGAAATTGAGCCTAATGTCGCATAATACGAGCGCGATCATTGGTCCAACGGTAAAGTCGACGGAGAAATTCTTAAGCTATGATTTGTTTATTTTGACATTGAGAGTATTAACACTTACGCTTTTACTTTAACAAAATGTCAAGCTTTTAACGGCAACCTCAATTTTTTCCATCGGTGTCGGAATTTAGTGATAAAATAGAGACAATTTTATATACGTCACAACAACTTCTGCCAATCAGATTCAGTCTTTCATAATAGCCTTTTAATCTTTATACACGAGCACGAAACTCAAAACACTTGGATCAGTACGTGATGTGCAGACAGCGAGTGGTAGTAAATGTGGGTACTTGGCCATAAAATTATTTATACCCACTTATTGTGCATCTGGTAATTACAGTCATGGCACCAGAAACGCAGGCAAAACACTTTATTAAGAAACTTGGTGTTAAACTTTGTAAAACTAAAGGTAGGTCACACACGTGGTTGCACAGTCAAATGACTCAATGGCTGTTATAGAGATTAACTTCATTAAGTTGCTTTTTGGTAGCATAATATTTATATTATATATGCATAGTATGTAAGGGCAGCAGCCATGGTAATAATCGTAATTAAATCGATATTTTAGTTGCATTATTCAAAGGTACTATTAAATCGGATGTACCCCTGATGAAAGAGATAATGCTCCAGTCAATGTCAACCCCTACCCTCCCCACCTCTGGGTTTAGTGGGGGATTTGGAAATTATTGTTGTAAAATTTGCCTAAATGCTCCACCTCCTGGGGCAAGAAGGATAGGCAAATCACCACCCAAAACAAACCCCCAACATTCAACCCTGGGGAATGCCATGCTTGCTATCAGGAGAGTACTCGATGAATGTATATGCATACGCAGCTAGCGAAGACACGAAATGCAGCTATTACCCCACCTCCACGGGCACAGTTTGGCGGTAAACCCCGTCTAATGCCCCACATTTGTCCCGTATCGCCTGAGGTGGGAGAGGTTGGTGTTGACATTGACTGGAGCATAAGTAGACTGTCGATCCCGAACTATTATTGTTATTTTATTAACCAAAATGGTAATGAATTTGTAAAATATCTGGGGTTGATACAAAATTTTTATGACTGTTTTATTCTGCTGCATGCAGACTATCGTACATCATCCTCCATAATATAGCTCTGCGTACAGTGCTGTGTGTATGGGGGACGCATTCGGTTGATAGATGTCCCTCCCACAGCCCTGCGTACCTCCATAGACAAAATCCGGGAGAGCACCGTAATTGGTGCGCAAGTTAAAAATAAGTAGTTTCCCAGCCGAAATCGGTTGAAATCCGTAACAACCATTACAGAGTTATCTGAAACTGAAGTGTCTTAAAAAAACGACTAGTAAAGATGGACAAATTGTAAACGCGCAGGTACCGGAGGAATTATCGACCAATCGCCGCCATTTTTAATTTCATGCACGTGAGAGAATGAGTTTGTTTTTAGGGCAAAGGAGCCGATTTCATCCACAATTGGACTCCAAACTGGGAGTTCTGGATATATCTAGTAATCGATCATCATTTTTGGTACCTAGGCATGTTATTTCATTAAAAAAGTTATATTTTTCAAAGTCCCGGACTTTGTCTATGGAAGTTCGCAGGGCTGTGGTGGGGACATCCATCAACCGAACGCGTCCCCGTACACACAGCACTGTACGCAGGGCTAGCATGAGGTACAGACCACCCAAAGCAACTTAATGCCACACTATTAAACCAGAATTCACAAAGTAATGCAAAAAACAAAACCACTAATTTATTTGCATTGTCACCAGAT